ACTTTGGGCTGATCACCAGGAGACGGTGAGTTCTAGACCCACCAATCGCTCAAACTCGCTCTCTCTAGTCCCGCTCTAGGCATGAAATTCAGCTGGGTGACTTTGGGCCCGTCCCCAGGACACTTCGGTTTATTTATTTTCATCATCTATGCACCCTTCTAAGCAACATTCCAATATGTTATCCGCTCAATTGCGGTTTTGATCCCAGGGGATGCTGCAAAGTCATAAGTCTGAAAAAACGTTCATAAGTCACTCTTTTTCAGTGGCGTCGCAGCTTTGAACGGCCATTCAACGAACTGTGGCAAGTTGAGGATTTATCTGTATTTTGAAAAGCCCATGTGGGAGTTTCGGCTCTCGAGGAAGGCCTGACCTGCCACATTCAAGAATGCGGCTCTATCCAGACAGATGGCTTCTGATGGAATTCATTTCCTAAGGCAGAGTTTCCTCGGCTTTTCTCTTCCACCCAAACCCGTTTCCTGGGACCGCCTTGGCAGACGGGGGCAATCTTCCACGCAGCATCGGAGTTTCCCGCCATGCCTTGCTCCTCATAGCTAGAGGCCGTCCGGCATAGTGGCCTTATAACACCTCCCATTTCCACTTCCTCTGGGGTCCAGTTTGAGAGGGTTTTTTTTTTTATTTCCAGCAAAAAGAATTGAGTGAATGGTTCCATTAGGGTTTTTTTAAAAAAATCTATTATTGTGGCCCCTGGGGCGATGAAGCGCTCATTCTTCGTGAATGCAGAGAATTAAAAAAAAAATAAGAATTTTTTAAAAAACCAGAGAGAGAGACACACACACAGACGTGTAACAAAGGCATACGCCTCACCCAAAGATAGCCTCTCTTTGATTTCTCGTATTTGTTTTTCTGCCATTCTGGAAACACACAGAGTTTTTCAGTGGGAAGATAAGAGGATAACCTATATTTAATTCCGGGAGTCCTAACTGAATGAATGAATGAAAAGCAACCAACTGACCAACCAAAATAAAATGGGAAAGTCAGAAACAAAACAAGCTGAACTACAGTCATCCTGAAGGCCAGACAAAGAATAATGGATGGAAACGGAACCAAGGAGAGATTCAACCTGGAAATATGGAGAAATTTCCTGATAGTGAGAGCCATCGAGCCATGTAACAGAAGTTGCCTTCAGAAGTTAACAGATAACAGATAATCAGAGTTGGAAAGGACCTTAGAGGTCATCTAGTCCAACCCCCCCCCCCAAGTGGGAGACCCTACACCATATCTGACAAACAGCAGTCCAATCTCTTCTTGAAGGTCTCAAGTGATGGCGCTCCCACAACTTACGGGGCCAACTGTTCCATGGGTTGATTGTTCTCACTGTCAGAAAGTGTCTCCTTATTTCCAGGTTGAATCTCTCCTCGATCAGTTTCCATCCATTGTTCCTTATCTGGCCTTCAGGTGCTTTGGACAATAGCTTCACCCCCTCCTCTCTGCCGCAGCCCCTCAAATATTGGAGCACAGCTATCATGTCTCCCCTGGTCCTTCTCTTCCCTAGACTAGTTGTGCAGCTTCATCCCTGGAGGCTTTCAAGAAGAGACTGGACTGCCATCTGTCAGAAATGATATAGGGTCTGCTTGGGCGGGGGGTTGGACTAGATGACCTACAAGGTCCCTTCCAACGCTGTTAATCTGTATCTGTATCGTAATCTTTAGGATAATGGCCGTGTCAATTCATAAAACATTTCTATGGTCTTTTTAGAATTGCCAACGGAAAGGGTGGGGGAGGGGTTTGAAAGAGAAGTGTGGCAGCTTGTAAATCAAAAGTGCATTCCATAAATAGTTTTTTCAAACATAGTAACAAGGTGACTTAAGTTTCTGCCATGCAAATATCTAACTGGAGAGCATGATTGATGGCTCTTGGCTATGGAGGTGTCCCATTGGAGAATATGAATTACGATACACCCAGGGAGTGAGGGGAAACCATGGTTAAGGGTGACAATGAATGACATGTCCCAGGCAGTGCCGGGCAATTTAACTCCCAATAAATCCTTTCAAAGTTTCGGAAGTTTGGTTGATTTAATTGGGATAACTGCCGGAATCCTGACAGGGAGCTACTGATCGTCCATGGCTTGGCCACTCTTCAGCGTGCCCTGACCGATGCTTACCTGTGATAGCGTGGTGTGAGAAAGCCTCCACGTAGATGAGATAATTGTGCGGGCAGTGCTTCTTCAGCCATTTACACACATCCTGCTGGGTCCATAGCACCACCGGCTTGGTAAGACTCCCTAAGGTAGGACTGGTGTGGTAGATTCCATAGTGCTCATAAGTCCGGCTCTAAAAGGATCAAGGAAGGAAGAAAAGATCAAAGAACAGGGTTACGGAGCGTAGAATTTGCAGCGATACAAAGTTTTGAAGAATTTTGCACCAATGTTTATTCCTAAATAGAACATATATACACCAACGTTTATTCCTGAATACAACATTTTTTTAAAAAAAACCAGCAATTTCTGAGTGCTCCAACACTGGAGGTTTTTGAAGAAGAGATTGGACAACAATTGGTTTGAAATGGTTTAGGGTTTCCTGCCTAAGCAGGGGGTTGGTCTAGAAGACCTCCAAGGTCCCTTCCAACTCTGTTATTCTCTTCTATTCTATCCGAACTTCAGAACCAGGTTGTAACACCCCCCCGGAGGGTCTCGTCGTAACTTTGAACGCTCACTAATTATTCTGAAGGGTTGGTTTACTTTGGAACCGTAACAATTCATGCAACATGGCTAACCAGAGAGGAACTAGCCACATTTGCATTAAATGTGAAGATTGAATAAGTTTTAATGTATTAATCTGTTTTGCAAATCTAACGCCTCTGGTGGGTTTTTGCTTTGACAAATTGTACAAAACTAGAAAGTGAGTCGATCAATTGCAAGCCTTCATTCACATGGCTGTTGCAGATCTTGTTTGTGTGTTCACTGTGAAGCTGCAGTTAGCTTTAGGATATTGTTGCTTTATGCTTTTTTTCAAATGTATTTTTTCCTGTATTAAATCAATTAACAAAACAAAAAGTAGACTTACGTGAAATGGAGTTAACGATGCAGCTTCAAACTTAATGTTAATCGTAATTTTAAAAGGAGGCCGGAGTAATTATGCTATAAAAAGGCAACTAAAACAGTATGGGCTTCTTTATATAGCAGGGGTGGGCAATTATGGCCCCTTTAAGACCTATGGACTTCAACTCCCAGAATTCCTGAGCCAGCATTATTCTCCATCCCATTCTATTGAAATCATGCCTTTTTTTATTCCTTTGTCTGCTCTGGGATAATTTTTCCCTTTAAATCTTAGCTGTTCATGGCAGGCTGGATCTATCTAATCCTGGAAAGTAAAACTGAAGGAAAATGCAACTTGCGTGGACAGCATTCATGACTTATTTCCAAAGGCAAATTGGAAACTGATCTAAGCAATCTGTGCCCAAGAGTGACAGCATCTTTTCCGGAAAAATGCTGAGCCCGCAGATGGCATTAGCCAAAATTCCTTTGTCACCAAGTTATAAGTAGCCAGCAATTCACTAGCAATTTCTTAGAGACAGATATGTTTATTATTATTATTTTTGCAAATTGGCAAAACGTCTTAATTTATTTCTCTTTGCTCCTTATTTACTGCAAACCAGCCTACGTTGGCTTAAATAGGAAGCTATGAATGGAGGTGGGAAGCCCTGGCATTTGGACACAATTGTCAAACTCAGCGTTTCCCAATCTTGGTCCTTTTAAGAAGTGTGGACTACAAATCCCAGAAGTCCCCAACCATGCTGGCTAGCCCAGTGGTCCACAACCATCTCCAGGGCCTTGAGCCATTCAGAACCAAGCCATGAAAGTGACAGAGGGGGTGAATTCAGCAGGTTCTGGCCAGTTCTGGAGACTTGGTAGCGGACATTTTGAGTAGTTCGGAGAACTGGCAAATCCCATCTCTGACTGGCTCCGCCCCCATGTATTCTCCGCCTCCTGAGTCCCAGCTGATTGGCTGGGTCTTCTTTGGTTGCCCTGCACAGGAGAACGGAGCTGGAAAGCAGGTTAGTGGGGCAGGGAGGAAATGGGATTTTACAGTAACCTTCCCCTGGCATGCCCACCAAGCCACGTCATGCCCACCAAGCGATGCCCACAGAACTGGTAGTAAAAAATTTTTTGAATCTCACCACTGGTGAGCATGCACACATGCATGCACATCTCCACCCGTGTGAACATCCGGTGAAAACATGCACATGGTATGTGCTCCATTTGTGCAAGTGGTGGGCACGCATGCATGCCACTCAGACAATTGGAGCTGCACACATGTGCTTGCCTGCTCCTTGTGCAAAACCATCCCTTCCCTCCAACCTGCTCGTCTGCAAAGGTACAAATGTCGGGGAACTCTGGGCTAGGCTATTATAGGCAGTCCTTGATTGACTGCGATGTCAACTATGCAAAGAATTGGACATTAGATGCATCTCGACGTAACTGTGAGTCACCTTGAGGATACCTAATACGATCCAATAAAAGAAGCTTTGTATGGAAGAATGTGTAAGAGTTATTCTATCTGTCTTTATATTCAGCAAGCGAATCATAAGACAGAATAGTAAAACGATGCGTAGATCTGAATTCCTGCGATCCCTCAGGAAAAGGACGATGGAAATTTAAACCGGGACTCCCAAGTCAAAACGCAATGTTAATCTGAGTCACCAAAGCCAAGAGATAACTAATCAGATTGCCTGAATTCTCACTGTCTCTCTTTGCTGTGCGACGTAACCTTTTACGTGCTGTTTGGATGGTGGGAAGGGCTGGAATTCCCCTACTTGCTAGAGACAAAACACAGCTTCCGAAGCGACGCTTTCTCTGCATTTACAACCACGCTAAAAGAAAAAAATGCCTCCTTGCACTTACAGCTGCTATTGCATCCCTACAGCCATATGATCAAAATTCATGTGTTTCGCTGGATATAATATTGTGGTGGTGCAGCGGTTAGAATGGAGCATTGCAGGGTAATTCTGCCGACTGCCAGCAGTTTGATCCTGACTGGCTGAAAGTCGACTCAGCTTTCCCTCCTTCCGAGGCGGGTAAAATGAGGACCAAGATTGTTGGGGGGCAAAGAGGCTGACTCTGTCGACCGCTTAGAGAGGGCTATGAAGCACTGTGAAGCGGTAGATAAGTCTAAGTGCAATTGTTATTTCTATTTTCTGTTCCATTCTATTCTATTGCTATATTGGCGCACTGGTTAGAATGCAATATTGCAGGCTGACTCTGCCCACTGCCAGCAGTTTGATCCTGACTGGCTCAAAGTCGACTCAACCTTCCCTCCTTCCGAGGTGGGTAAAATGAGGACCCAGATTGTTGGGGGCAAAGAGGCTGACTCTGTAAACCATTTAGAGAGGGCTGTGAAGCATTGTAAAGCGATATATAAGTCTAAGGGCTATTGCTAATGTAGACTAGGCTCCTCAGGGTACACCCCGGGCAACACACCATGGCTAAATGATCTATAGTTTCCAGGTGCTGGCCCTCACAAGGATCTCTCAGCCGGAAGAAGAAGTGTGAGCACTGAAAATTAAAAACTGCCATTAATGTTGTATTCTTTTACACCATGTGAAATAAATCAGAAAAGGGGTCTGGCAATTGGCATGTAATTTCGACAGCTGCAGTGTGCTGTGGTCATGTGACCGTGATTCACAATGTTTTCTTTTGACGCAAACCAGTGTTTACTTCCAGTGACCTGTTTAATGAGTGACATCACTCAGGACTGTAATTCTGGGCTCAATGACAAAGGCAAATCAAGGACTGTCCGCACGACACAGATGTCTGGGGAGATTCTCAGTCATCCAGGCCATGGTTGTACCAAGGGTGCTTTTTCCAAAAGGGCAAACGTACCCAAGGAAAGTAAAAAACCAAGATAACTGAATTGGGAACATGCATTACACAGAATCACTCCGATCTAGGCAGGAAGTCATGTTTGGTTCACATGGAGATCACCGCTGGGATTCCAAAAATTTTAACTACCGGTTCTGTGGGCGTGGCTAAGTGGGTGTGGCTAGGCGGGCATGGCCATGTGATTGGGTGGGAATGCCTTTTTTTTTTTTTTGCAGCACCCCTCCCCCGTTTTTGGGGCCTTCTGGGTTTCAGGGAAGCCTCCGGGGGTTGATTTTGCTCCCAGGAAGGCAAAAAAATGGAGCGCAGAGGAGCGGGCTGCAGCGGTGAGGTGAAGCAGTAAGACAGTGAGGGGAATCCCAGCACAGCTGATCGTAGGAACAGCTGATCGTCGGGAGGGGAAAAAAAAAAGAAATACCTTAAGGAGTGACTGGGCGGGGCGAGCGTCCTGTGGGTGGGGTGAACGAGCATCAGGTGGGTGGGGCAAGCGAGCAGTGACTGGGTGGCTGGGTTGGGGGTGTGGCCAGCCAGTAAGTTACTACCGGTTCAGCGACCCGCACCAAATCCTGGCTACCAGTTTGCTTGAACCGGTGTGAACCGGCTGAATACCACCACTGATGATTCTTCCAGCAGTGGGATCCTACCTGTTCCACTACCGATTTGGTGATTGTGCATGCGCACCTAACGCACACACACGCAGCTTTCCACACAGCCCTGCAGCGCCAATCAGCTGAGAGGTTAAAGAAGAGAAAAGCGCAGGGGCGGGTGAGAGGCCGATCCTGCACTCTTCTTTCTCTTCTTAGCTGATCGTCGGCTTTTCTTTCCTCCTCCCAGCTGATCGTGGGAAGCTTTTTTTTTACTGCCAGTTAGGCTGAACCAGGCCAAACTGGTAACATACCACCACTGATTACTTCCTTAGAGCAGGCCTGCCCAAGAGAGTCTGTGGCACCCTGTGGCCTGGTCAGTAGACTTGCACATATTTATTTACTTATTTTTATTTATTTATCAAATTTGTCAAACAGAAATGAGAAGGATAAAAAAGAAAATACGACAGGGATGATTGGCACGTTAAGTGCACATGCACACACCCCCTCTACTGACCGCTTACGTATGAAGTAAGGTCCACGGAAGTCAATTTGTGGACTGAAATGGTGAAAATTTGCGGCGGAGACAACGGGATTAGGTAGAGCATTGCAGACTTTGGCAACTCTATTACAGAAATTATATATATATATTTTTACATTTAATTTGATCCTGAAAAAATTGTTGCCGCAAAAGTCACACTGCCAAGCAGTGGAGGGTTTCAATTTTTTTTTTACCCTTGGTTTTTTGGGTGAGGCTTCGCATGTGCGCAGAGAGTTTGCTACTCACTTCCTCCTGCAATCCTGCACTCACCCTGTGTCTTTAACAGCTGACGCGTGGCAATCCGCAGTGCCCTACGAAACAGCTGAGGTTGAAAGGCAGGAAATAAAAGTCAGTATAGAGCCGGAGCAGGCAGGAGGGCCCAACAGCTGATCGTCGGAGCTACTGGTTTGGCCGAACCAGGCCGCGCCAGTAGAATACCACCATGGCTGCCAAGTGGTTCCGACATTTCCAGCCTTTATGAGATCAGCAGCTCCATGGTTACCACTTGCTGTCCTGTATTCATTTATTTGTTTATTTATCGAGAGGTGCCCAATGCCATCTTACCTGGGAGTTTTCGGTCCCCGGTTGCTGAAGGAGCTTGACGGGTCTCCCTCCGGCTGTCCTCTGGCTTCGCCCATCATGCCAGGTGAGATTGCCGCCTGAATTCCTCTGCAGGCGGTAACTGAGATTCTCGGCCGATACAGTGTGCTCCAAAAGGTTCGGGCAGAAGCCAAAGTGAGTCGCAGCCACTGCGGAGCAGAGAAAGTGCAAACTTAAATGCTTAGCTTCTAGGTTGCTCCTCACATTGCACAAGAAAAAAACAAAAAACAAAGATTTTGTTTGGTGTTGGCCTAGAAACCAGGAGATGGTGAGTTTTAATCTCATCAGGAGGCATGAAAGCTGGCTCGGTGACTTTGGGCCAAGACGGTGATTTCTAGTCTCATCTTAGGCAAAAAAGCTGGCTTGGTGACTTTGAGCTAATCACCAGGACACAGTGAGTTCTAGTCTCATCTTAGGCATGAAAGCTGGTTTGGTGACTTTGAGCTAATCACCAGGAGACAGTGAGTTCTAGTCTCATCTTAGCCATGAAAGCTGGCTTGGTGACTTTGACCTAATCACCAGGAGACAGTGAGTTCTAGTCTCATCTTAGCCATGAAAGCTGGTTTGGTGACTTTGAGCTAATCACCAGGAGACGGTGAGTTCTAGTCTCATCTTAGGCATAAGGGCTGGCTCGGTGACTTTGGGCCAATCCCCAGAAGATGGTGAGTTCTAATCCTGCCTCAGGCATGAAAACTGGCTGGAGGATTTTGGCCTAATCCCTCCCTCTCAGACCAAACTGACCTCACAAGGTTGTTGTTAGGAAGAAACGAGGAAGAGGAAGGAGTATTTACAAATGTTTGCCTCCTTGAATAGGTAATAAAGGTGGGATAAAAAAACTCCTAATAAATATGTAAAGAAAAATAATAAATTCCGGTTAAGTGTCATCAATGGGGCTCTTCCCCTTTGAGGTCTGAACCCTGTTTGCTTCCACCACTTAATTTGGAGGTCCTGAAAGATCACCTGTGAATGGCAGAAGCTTGGCAAGGAGGCCTGCCAGTTTTAGAGGCTGATGGGAAGGATGTCCAAGACAGAAACTCCCTCTGTGCGGATCAATAACACAACACAGTTGATTTTTATTTTATTTTTTTGCTGCAGACCTGAAGACGAAAGAAAATTCATCCCTTTCCACTTTGTAGCTTTTGTCAGCCTAGCCTGTAACCTGATGTCAGGTTTCAATGTCCCTTTCTTTTTCCAGGATCCGCAGACACACCAACACACACACACACACACACACTTCCTTCTTTTGTCTCTGCAGAGAACCCAACAAAGCGGCCAACGTCATGGAGAAGATTTACTCACTTCAGAGCAATTAAACGCAGAGGCCAGAGATGGCCAGGCGCTCGGCCCTTCTGGCAATTTAGAGATAGGCTCAACAGCCAGCCGTTTGTGCCAGATGCTGACAAATTATCCACCCCGATGTGTTAGATTTATGCCATATTTTGGCAGTGCTGGGCCTCTCCTTTGCAATAAATCCATATCGCTGTTCACACGGGCTTGAAATGATGCAGAAGCCTGTCTGCCCAGGGCAGCTGAATACACAGCTCGAGAACCGGAGCTCCCCCAAAAATGACATCTGTTTATCTATCTGCTGCAACAAAGGACCGCTCCCTCCTTGTCTACGTTCACACAACAATCCGAACTCTAAACCCAAGTCAACAAATCACAGATTGTGTTCGCTTAACTTGCGATGCACAAGCAACTTAGTGGCCTAAAAATCAGGAAATGGTGAGTTCTAGTCCTGCCTTAGGCATGAAGGCCAGCTGGGTGACTATGGGCCATTCACCAGGAGACTGGGAGTTCTAGTCCGGCCTTAGGCATGAAAGCCAGCTGGGTGACTTTGGGCCAATCACCAGGAGATGGTGAGTTCTAGTCCCGCCTTAGGCAGGAAAGCCAGCTGGGTGACTTTGGGCCAATCACCAGGAAGTGGTGAGTTCTCGTCCCGCCTTAGGCAGGAAAGCCGGCTGGGCGACTTTGAATCAATCCCCAGGGCCAGAATTCAACATCTTATAGATCTTCAAAGCTCTATCAGAAATGCATCCCTGGGAAGGCGGGGTGTTACCCATCCTTAACTCAACTAGTTCCACCAACACGACTTTTAAAATGTCAAGATACCCATGGTTGATCGTTGTAATACAGGGCAAAAAGGCCCGTATCTTCACGAGAGCTTCCAACGTTTGCTTCCTTGAAGGAAAAGTAACCGATTATTGATCTTGACAAATGAAGAAAAGTCATTGCAACCAACCGGTAGATTCAGTGCCCTGACTTAAAATTTGTTTCACGCGCTCTGGAATAAACTCATTCAGAAAAACAATTCCTTTTTGTGAGCTTCATAGGCCATGAAATCCCTTTGCAGGAGCCTTTGTGAAATCTACTGAGTTGAAGGCTTTATTAAAGCGGGAGAGAAAAATATAAATAGATGGCTACATATGACCTATCTGAACTAACAAAGCCCAATGAAAAACACATTTTTTAAATCTCTGCCTTCGCAGTAATAAGCCTATCCATCTTGAGCTCGCAGGAGCTCTGGTGCGCTCTCTGTAGCTCTGCGACCGTGACAAGAGTGAAAAAAAGACTTTAATTCAACATTTTAATAGGTTTTCAAAGACTCCACTTAGAGAAACTGGGCTTTTCCTTTTTCTACATTCCTGATGGGAGGGTGGCCGGTTCAGAATTTCTCACATATTAGTTCAGGATATTTCAGTACAGGTAGTCCTCGGCTTATAGACGTTCGTTTAGTGACCATTCGAAGTTACGACATTGAAAATGCACAATACTGTATGTTGATTCCTACATAGCCGGCTACTTCTGCTGACTGCCGGCTGCCAGCAGTTTTGCAGGTCAACTCTCACTGGGTCAAGGTTGGCTTGGCCTTCCGGCCTTCCGAGGTCAGTAAAATGAGGAGCCAGCTTGTTGGGGGCAAGAGGGTGACTCTGTAAACCACTTAGCGCAGGGGTCTCAAACACAATTTACCTGGGGGCCACTGGAGGCAGAGTCTGGGTGAGGCTGGGCCGCATAATATTATACTTTATATTATACTTTATATTTATATTATACACTAATATTATACTTTCATATCACAGTGGGGGCCACAGGATATTGTCCTGCGGGCCGCAATTGGCCCGCGGGCCGCGAGAATGAGACCTCTGGCTTAGAGAGTGCTATAAAGCACTGAAAAGCGGTATATAAGTCTAAGTACTATTGTTATTGCCCTTCCTTCCTTCCTTCCTTCCACCTCCTTCCCACGCTTCCTCCTGTCTCCTTCCTTCCTTCCTTCCTTCCTTGCTGCCTACCTGCCTTCTTTCCTCTTTCCCTCCTGCTTACCTACTTTCCTTCCTTCCTTCCTTCCTTCCTTCCTTCCTTCCTTCCTTCCTTCCTTCCTTCCTTCCTTCCTTCCTTCCTTCCTGCGTGTAACACCTGAAGCCACCCAGAAACCCAAAGAACAGGGTTCAAAATGGATCGAGCTTAGCTTGCTTAGCTTAGAGAACAAGCCTCGCTGAGATCGGCCGTCTCACTGAAATGCAGACCGATGGGCCAGCCTTGCAGATGGAATGTGAGAAAGGAGAACAACCAGGTGGGGGCTGTGTGAGGAGCCAGAGTGCCAACATTGGTGTGCATGGCACCATTTGCAGCTCTGCATGTCTTTCTTCCCAGCTTGGCACGTTTTTGCTCACCCAGCGCTCTCCAGACTCTCCTTTGCCCCTCTCCCCTGCCCTTCCCTTCTAGGAAACCATTCCAGCCTATGATTAAAAGAAGGATTAATTCCCCCCCCTGCCCCCCCGCCTGCTGGCTATAGAAAACCTCCCCTCCTCCCCTGCTTTCTTTCCCTTTGTGCTCTGCCGCGATAATCCGTCCTCTCCCAGCTGTGCTTTGATTAACCTCCCAGGGAAAGGATGCAAATGGGCAAATGAAAAATCCCTAGAAAGCAGCTTCCGTCTCCCACGAGCCGGAGGTCTAAATCGGGTCCCCCTCTCAGGACCTATTGTGCCCCGTGTCAAGTGGGGATTTCCAGAGACGCACGCTGCCACTCCAATGGCGAGCCCGCAGCCGGACGCTTACCAACCGGCTCTGCACCACCCTGTGCAAATTCCTCTGAATCTAGAGTGAAAAGGCTGGTTAAAAAAAACCACCAGGTTGTCTAGTGGTTAAGGCAACAGGCTAGAGAGTGGGAGAGGATGAGTTCTAGTCCGGCCTTAGGCATGAAAGCTGGCTGGGTGACTTTGAGCCAATCACCAGGAGACAGTGAGTTCTAGTCTGGCCTTAGGCATGAA